GTGGTGGTTAAATCTGTGTGTCAACTTGACTAGGCCTGGTTGAGTGGTGGGGCAGCTGGATGTAGTATTCTCGATGATGAGATGGGTGATCAATTCCATGGTGGAATCTACTGTGAACAGCTAGGTAGCTGCCTTTGGGTATGTGGTCTGCTTCTCATATATAAGAAACAGCTTTGGGAATGGTCTCTAGCTTATGGTACGCTTGGACCCTGCATGTTGTTGTTGTTGTTGTTGTTATGTGCCATGGCATGCTCTGCCAACCTTGGGACTTACAATGAACTTGAATTAATGTCCTGCCATGTGTGGTTTGGTAACATCAGGACGGTGTCATTTTATTTGTCAACCTTGGGCTTGTTAACCTCAGTGCCAGTAGCTGCCTGAGTGAAGAGATGCCTCTAGCTTCAGTGGGCCAGGAACAAGAGCCAGAGCTCTGAAGCCCAAGGTCAAGGGGCTTTCACCCAGCCCCTAGAGCCTGACACTTTGAACCTGGATTTAAAGCCTCCAAACTATTAAGAGAATAAACTCCTGTTTGTTAAGGCCATCCCAATTATGGTCTATGTCTGTTAGAGAGGAAATAAGTAAGCAGAACAGTATTAAAATTATTTGTTTTACAACAATGTAAAATTAAGACTAATATGAACCTTTTAATGTTTTTTTAGTAGGTGGAATATATGTAATACATATGAAAATATTATAATTTTATAGGCAACTGAATGAGCATCCATTAAATTATATATTACCTGCCTTTTCGTTGTATGGCACTAGCTTTGGAAATCCACACCATTTTCAACATTGTAACAAAATTCAGTGCATCAAAAGACTTCTGAAAAATTTAAAACATCCTTATGTTAAAAACATAAAAAGTATTTCAGAGGAAATAATAAACTTTATCAACATATTTTAACATGTCAAGTTTCATTCAAAGTCTCTACTAATTACATAATAAGAACAGAGTACTGATTAGAAAAAAATTCCAGATTTTCTGGTTCCAACCATTCTATTAAAAAATATGAAAACTAAGGAGCTATTCAACATCTATTCTGTGCCTTGCTGAGCTATTTGATGCTTTCTGCTAAAGGTGGACAACGACACACAGCTCTCACAGCATACCAAAAGTGGAGAGAACTAATGTGCTCTATTGTCCTTAGTTTCTGTTAAATTTATATCATTTTAGGGGATAGGACTGATAGGGAAAACATATTTTGTGAAATACTTTTCAGGAAGCCTATCTGGAGGGGTAAGAATAACAACAACTACTACACTAATTCTTTCCCAAAGTGGAAAATTCTTAAGACCTTTTTCATTTTATCTCCTACTGAGCTACTTACTAACAACATTAGTCTTTCTAAAATGTTACAAAGGAAAAAGCAAAAAAGAAAAACCACTTTCTCTTACATCCTCAAAGAAGCTAAAGTGAAAGTTTATAATAGAGAGAAATATTCTTAAAAAATGCATTCCCAACTAGAATATATACTTCAAACATGTGGTTATCTACTTTTCTTTTCATAAAATAATTACATACAACAATAAAAAAGCATTCCCCTAAGTATAAAAACTTTTAGAAAAGATGCTGCTTAGTTTTTAATAAAATGTTACATTTGTCAATTTTGTATATAAAATAATTAACTTTTTGACACTACCACCATGGTTTAACCATGGTTTACCACATAAATAAATAACACCTAAATAAATTAACTTCTAAAGTATTTATTCAAAATCTAGTTCATCATTTCAGTTAATTTTATGGCAATGAAATCTGGATTTTGACTGTCTCACCACTTATATTTTTAGTTAAAATAGTCATTATTGTGCTCTTATAAGAAATAAAATTTACCTCTCCTTTATACTATAACCAATTATAATGACTATTTCTAAATTTTATAATAAAATTTTATTTTCTAATAATTATTTCTCAGGAGCTCTGGTGGCGTAGTGCCTAAGGCATGTGACTGCTAACTAGAAGGCTGGCAGTTCAAACCCACCAGCTACTCTGTGGAAGGAAAATGAGGCAACCTACTTCCATAAAGATTTACCGCCTTGGAAACCCAATAGGAGTCACTATAATTTGGAATTGATTCCATGGCAGTGAATTTGTTTTTTGTGTTTTTTTAAAAATAATTATTCCTAAAAATTATATTGAAAACATTATAAAGCAATTAATTTTTCATATTAAAAACAATTATTTATCTACACTACAACAGATAATTTGCTTTCTAAAACATGTGTAGTATTTCTTCCCTTGAAAACTTAACCACCTCCATCAGTTTCATTCTTTCAGTGAAAAGCTCTACCAAAAGTTTAGAGCATTGAGAATTGCTGGGCAACATCATGCTTGAAAAGAAATGAATGCTGCCTTTTGTTTATATTAAAGGTGACAAACTTTTTATGTAAAGGGCCAGAAAGTAGGTATTTTTAGTGTTTAGGGTCCACGGGGTCTGTGTAGTAACAACTCAAATCTGCTATCATAGTACGAAAAGCAGCCTTAATTAATACATAAAACAAAATGGGTGTGGCTGGGTTCCAATAAAAGTTTACAAAACCAAGTGGTGGGCCAGATTTGGCTCTCTGGCTGTAGTTTGCCAACCAACTATGGGCTTTATATTTGTTTGCTTTCTTTCAGAGGGGTTCACTTGAACCATGTATCTTTTTATCAAAAAGTATTTATGTAAGGAACTGAAGATATAACAATTAATAATAGAGTTCAGATCCAGATGTAAGAAGAAAATATATAATCAAATACCCATACCATGTGATTTAAGTTTCACTATAACTAGCCAAACCTTTTACATCTTTCCTAGTATTTAATGAGCAGAAGGTAAATTTTTTGTGTAATTTGTTAAATCCATTGCCATCTTATCACAATCCTATAGGGCAGAGTAGAACCTCCCCACAGGCTTTCCGGCTGTAGTCCTTTACGGAAGCAGACTGCTACATCTTACTGCCATGTAATTTCTTAATTTTAAAAAGGGATATCTGTATACTGAATCTTTTAGGGTAGAATATTTTAGTGAAATCAACAACTATATTATGTTTAATTTATCAAGGAACTAAAAGTCTTCCTATTAGAGTAAATTCTGTTTGTAAAAGCATTTGTTGGAACAGAATTTAATCTTCTTCATTTACATAAAAATACAATTTATTCAAACATACCTCTTTCACCTTACCAGAATCAATAACAAAGACAACATCATTGACTGTGATGCTGGTTTCAGCAATATTGGTGGAAAGGATCTGAAAAAGGAAAGGATGTTATTTTACAATTAATATGAAAATAGATCCGATGACAAATAAAAATGGAAAAAAAAAAAATCTTATGAAGCTTACTATTTTTCGAACACCTGCAGGTGGATTTTTTAATACCTTCTTTTGATCAGATGTTTGCATATTTGAATGAAGCATAAAGACTTGATATCTGTTGAAAATTGAAAGAGAAAATATACTATAATGCCAGTCTGTTATTTAAAGCAACAAATATAAAGCTTTAGCTTTTACCTATGTGTATTGTCAGCAAACCGCTTGTCATCAAACAGGATGCGATCCCTCAATCCAACAATTTCATCATACCCAGGTAGGAAAATTAATATTGCACCTTAGAAGAAAATTATTTTCCAATCTTAAATCTCATCTTGAAATCAGAAACAATCACGTTACTATAAGGAACCATAATGTATGTTTTCATTTATTACTAACAATAATATTTATGAGATTATAAGATTACTCAAATATTACTATCAATGGAACTATATAAATAATTTTATACAAGAAACATTAATTTTAATCAAAATATATACTTTTCTTCCAGTTCTTATAGACAATGCTTATTTACCAGAATCACAACTATGGCAGATATTGTACAGAAGATGCATGATCAAATCCAAGTCTACTTTTTCATCATCAAAGCTATGATGATAAGCTTTCAAGAGCTCTCTGTCTTCTGTACTGAGGTCACTTCCATTTGTTTGAACCAGAGAACTTTCATCTAGATTTCCAAATTCCAATGAAGCACTAAAAAAAAAATCAAGTCAATTTTCATGAAAAAGAGTAACCCTTAAATGTAATGATTCTCATTATGTCCTTCTAATTTCCAATATAGCATAAGGAGGGTAAATGATATTTAATATGCTAGCTATAACACATAGTCTCCAGCCTCACAGCAACACACAAGCCACCACAGTGCGACAGAATGACAGACAAGTAGTAGACAGCATATAAATATATAATAATAAAACATATAATTCATGCTTTGGATTCAAGCACATTTTTCTAAGTAAAATTTAGCAATAAGTACTTTAAAAAGAAATCTGAAGCTATTTCTCCAAAAGATATGCAACTAGGTAATAAGCACATGAAAAAATGCTTAACATTGTTAGCCACCAAGAAAATGCAAATCAAAACTATAATAACACCCTTCACGCTCACCAGGATACCTATAATCAAAAAGACAGACAGTAATAAGTATTGACAAGGGAATGGAGAAACTAGAACCCTCATACATAGCTGCTGGAAGATGTAAAATGGCAGTTCCTCAAAATGTTAAAAATTTACCATATGCCCAAGCAGTTCAACTTCTAAATACATATACAAGCAAAACTAAAACTTACATATATGCCAAAACTTATACAAAAATGTTCCTAGTTATATCATCATTAGCCAAAAATCATCATCATAGCCAAAAAGTGGAAACAACCCAAATATTCATCAAGTGATGAATGAAGGGACAACCTGTGGTATATTCATACTATGGATATACAGTGAAACCTGGGAAAGGCAGAACACAATTGGACTGACTTGTTTTTCCAGGTCTTGTAAGTTACCCAGAGTACAGGTTTACCACTTTTCTATCACTTTCTAATAGAGGAAAATATTCGAGTTTTCCTTCTCTGACAGGTTTTACCTTACACAAGTTGTTCTGGCTTTCCTATGTTTTACTGTACCATAAAAAGGAATAAAGTACTTATACACGTTACAATATGAATAAACCATAAAAACATTACACTGAGTGAAAGAAGACTTATCATATGATTCTATTTAAATAAAAAACCAAGAATAAGCAAATCTATAGACACAGAAAGTAGAATAGTGGCTGCCTAGGGATGAGAAGGTTGAGGGTAAATAGGAAGTGACTGCTAATGGATACAGGTTGCTGCTTGAGGTGAAGGAAATATTTTAAAATTGATTACCACAATCAATTTTAATGCCTGAATAATTAAACATACTAGAAACCACTGAATTGTATGCTTAAATGGGTGAATTACATGCTATATGAATTACATCTCAATAAAACTGTTAACAAACACAAACTTTTGGTTATCATTCATATTTTCTTAATAAGCTGTTCATTATTATAAACAACACCTGATGGATATTGTCACACTTAAAGAAAAAAAAAAAAACTTTACTACAGGCTCCCGCTTAACATGACTTCTAATCAGGAATGCTGTTTTCCAAGTTATAGAATTTTGCATGACCAATGACTTATTCATTGCCAATACCTTTTTTCAAAACATAAATGGCAGCTATACATGTGGACCTCACCACATGGAATACACAGAAATGAGATCAACTACATCTGTGGAGAGGCAACAGAGAAGCTCAATATCATTAGTCAAAGGCCAGGAGCTGACTGGCCTTGAAAAGATCATCAATTGCTCATATGCAAGTTCAAGCTGAATTTTAAGAAAATTAAAATAAGTCCATGAGAGCCAAATTAAGACCTTGATTATATTCCACCTGAATTGAGAGATGATCTGAACAACAGATCTGACGCATTAAACCCCAATGACCAAAACCAGGTGAGTTTGGGGATGACATCAAGAACATCATACATGAGCAAACAGTCATTAAAAAAACAGGAAAGGAAAAGAAGACCAAAATGGATGACAGAAGAGACTCCGAAACTTGCTCTTGAAAATAGAATAGCTAAAGCAAATGGAAGAAAATGCTGAAATAAAAGAGCTGAACAGATTTCAAAGGGCAGCTCAAGGTGACAAAGTAAAGGATTATAATAAAATGCGCAAAAATCTGGAATTAGAAAACCAAAAGGGAAGAACATGCTTGGCATTTCTCAAGCTGAAAGAACAGAAGAAAAGATTCGAGCCTCGAATTGTAATACTGAAGGAGTCTATGGTTTTTTGGTAATAAAAAGAATTGCTTGATGTCCAACTATTTTAGGTGGTAGCATATAATCAAGAACCAACTGGTACTGAAGGAAGAAGTCCAAGTTACGCTGAAGGAATTAGCAAGAAAACAAGGAGTTTCAACAAACCGATGCAGCACTGGAGGCGCTGACTCATTTATGCCAAAAAATTTGGAAGACAGCTAACCTGACTAAAAGAAATTGTTATTTGTGCCCATTCTGAGGAAAGGTGATCCAGAAGAATGTGGAAATTATCAAACAATATCATTTATATCAGACTCAAGTAAAATCCTGCCGAAGATAGTTCAAAAACGGTAAACTGACAGCAATATATTGACAGGGAACTTCCAGAAATGCAAGCTAGATTCAGAAGAGGATGTAGAACAAAGGATATCGTTGCTAATGTCAGACGGATCTTAGCTGAAAACAAAGAATACCAGAAAAATGTCTACCTGTGTTTTACTAACTATGCAAAGGCATTCAACTATGTGGATCATAACAAATTATGGATAACATTGCAAAGAATGAGAATTCCAGAATACCTAATTGTGTTAATGAGGAATCTGTACATAGACCAAGAGGCTGTTGTTCAAACAGAAAAATCAGGAAGGGTGTGTGTCAGGGTTGTACACTTTCACTATATTTATTCAATTTGTACACTGAGAGCACAATAATCCGAGAAGTTGGCCTATATGAAGAACACTGCATCAGGATTGGAGGAAGACTCATTAACAAAGTGCAATATGCAGATGACACAACCTTGCTTGCTGAAAGAATTTTGCATGACCAACAACTTACTCATTGCCAATACCTTTTTTTCAAAACATAAATGGCATCTATACACATGGAACTCACCACATGGAATACACAGAAATGAGATTGACTGTATCTATGGAGAGGCAAAAGAGAAGCTCAAGATCATTAGTCAAACAAGGTCAGGAGCTGACTACAGAAAATATCATCAATTGCTCATATGCAAGGTCAAGTTGAATCTTGATGACTTGAAGTATTTATTCATGAAGATTAAAGACTCCAGTCTTCAGAATGGATTACGCTTCAACATAAACAAAACGAAAATCCTCACAAGTGGACCAATGTAAACAGCATCACGATAAATGGAGAAAAGATTGAAGTTGTCAGGGATGTCATTTTACTTGGATCCACAGTCAACGCTCATGGAAGCAGCAGTCAGAAAATCAGATGTCATATAACTCTAGGAAAATCTGTCACAAAAGATTTCTATAAAGTGTTAAAAACAAAGATGTCATTAAGGTGTGCCTAACCCAAGCCAAGGAGCTCTGGTAGCATAGTGACTTGACTGCTTGAAGGCTGGCGGTTCAAACCCACAGCCACTCCTTGGAAGGAAGGTTGGGCATTCCTACTTCCGTAGTGATACTGCCTCAGAAACCCAAGGAGGGGTCACTATGAGTCGGGGCTGACTCGATGGCAAACAACAACAACAACAACCCAAGCCATGGTATTTTCTATCACCTCACATATATGTGAAAGCTGGACAAAGAATAAGGAAGACCAAAGAAGACATGATGCCTTTGAATTGTGGTGTTGGTGAAGAATACTGAAAATACCACGGACTGCCAGAAGAACGAAAAAAATCTGTCATGGAAGAAGTGCAGCTGGAATGCTCCTTGGAAGCGAGAATAGCCAGACTTTGTCTCACCTACTTTGGTCATGCTGTCAGAAGGGACCATTCACTGGAGAAGGACATGATGCTTGGTAAAATAGTGGCTCAGTGACGAAGAGGAAGACCCTCAACAAGATGGACTGACACAGTGGCTGCAATGATAGGCTCCAGCATAGCAAGGATTGTGAGGATGATGTAGGACTGGGTAGTATTTCATTCTGTTGTACACAGGGTCACTATGAGTCAGAGCTCACTCATGGCACTTATTAATAACAATAACATTTTCCAAAAGACAGAATAACAGAAATCATTAAAATAAATGTCTTGCTTCTTCATCCCACATGTAAATACACACACTACTGCCATCAGTGTGATGGCAGCAGCGTGTGTGTGTGTGTGTGTGTGTGTTTTAACATATGGGATGAAGACACAAGACATTTATTTCAATAACTTCTGCTATTCTGGCTTTTTGGAAAGTGTTATTAGGTACACTTTTTTGGTTTAACAATTTAGTCATTATCTGTAAACTTCCAATTAATGAAAAATGAGGTCCACCTCCACACAATTTCTACTCACACCAATCTCTATAATGTATTAAGTTTTTATTCAACCTTTCCTTTACCATGATTATGTAAACATTATTCATTATTCACCACTGAGTCAAATAGTGAATTATGATTATGCTGCTTTTCTTCTAGAACTTTCTGCTTTTCCTGGAGTAATTTTTATTTGCTTAATTTTATGTGTACTGATCACTAATCATTCAGATTCATAAGCCTTTTTAATACAGTCAAAAAATGCTAGGTATTCTATTTTTCCCCCCCTCACAGAATTCCCTCTTTGAGCCCTTCATCTTCTGCTCCTATGGGGACTAGACCTGTTAGACAGCTGTCATCCTAACATATGGCTTGAACAGCATCCTGGGCATTCATTTCACTTATTGTTTGTTGGATCTACTGTTTTACCTATTCGGTGAAGCATGTTCTCTAATAGCTTCCTGACAAAGAGTACATAGAAAGTAAATTTTTCTTTTTTCTATGGTTTTCCATCTCATATCTTTTTTCCTACTCCTGGAGAGGTTTTCTCAATTTTGTCTTAGAAGCCTCCTAGTTGGTTTGTTTTTTAATTTCTACTACTATATTTTTAATTTCCAAGAGCCCTTTCTTGTTCACTCATTCATTCAACAAATATTCACTGAATATCTACTATGTACAAGCACTGTTCTTGAACAGAGACAAGCAGATTACTAAAGTCTAGCTAAGAGAAGAGATAGAAAAATCAATACAGTAAGTAAATTATAGAGTGAATCAAAGGATAGTAGGGTCTATGGAGAAAAAAAAAGTAGAAAAAGAGGATCAACAGCATACAGAGGTAGATTACAATAATAAACTGGGTAAATCTGAGTAGGCCTCATGAGATATTTGAGCAAAAAATTATATTCTGTTATTTTTTTACAGCATGTTTTTTTTGTTTCATGAATGCAAAATTTTTTATTACAGTTTTATTTTTGAAGTTTTTTCTGATCACAGCTTCTTAGTGCCATCTCAGTTTGGGTTTTTGTTGTTGTTCTTGCTTTGTTTTGTTTTGTTTGTTTGATTTACTAGTGCTTCTCTCCCTTAACTGATTCATGATCAGTCCTTAGCCATTTGTTCTTAAGAAGTTGCTGTTAGTTGCCATTAAGTTAATTGACGCACAGTAACCCCACGTGTGCTAAAGTAAAACTGTATTCCAGGGCTGTAACCTGTCAGAAGCAGATCACCAGGCCTGTCTTCCAAGACACTTCTGGGTAGATTTCAACCACCAACCTTGAACCGACCAACCTTTCAGCTAGCAGTTGAGTACTAAAACCTTTGAACAACCCCGGGACTCCCTCATAAAGAGTAAAGCACAAACAAACTTCAGGGGAACAGATGACATTTTTATCTAGTTTAAAAGATAATCTTTTTACTGAAGGAATACCAAATGTTCTATATTTCTAAATCTTTTCTCCAGGCTTGGTGTATTTTTCCAGGAAAGAATTCTCAAATTTTCTGCCAAGAAATATAAGTTCCAAATAGAAAAAAATGACAAGAGACAATAAGCAAAGGCAGCAGATAGTATCTCAACTTTCAGTCAGCAGATACATTTAAAACTTCTTTTTTTGTTTGATACCTCACACCTACTCTTCCATTGTGTCTATTAATCCCAAATCTAAAGACTCTATGGTTCAGTTTTTTAATAACCCTAAATTCAAAGCCTCAATGACTTTTTTGTTTTTTTAACTAAATCTTCCACTTCCTGCCAAGGTGGGCCAGAGATAACATGAGCTAGGAAGGGAGAAGAGAATCTGGTGTTCTAACTGTTCCTCATAGAAAATTTGAACCCATTCTATTTTTTCAGTCCTTTCATTGCTTCCTTCACATGATCCTCTCAGGAGTTTCAAAGCTACAATGAATCTGTCATTGGCATTCCCCTCTGTACGTACTAAAGTTTCAGTTTCTTAGCTCTGTTATGTCAATTACCACAAATGCATTAGCTATTTATTGTCCAAAAATTCACTGACATCTTCCAGAAGCTATGTGTCCTCTTTTATTCTATTTGACTTTGTCAGATTACACATTTTTTTTTATTGTCATTTTAGTGAGATTTTAGGAAAGTGCAGAAATAAATAAATGTGTCCTATTTATCATTAAACTGGAAATTTCCTCTGATTTTTCAAATTAAAGTATAAAATAATTACGTTATCATGCTAGATGTTATCAACAGCCTACAAAATAAAACCCACAGAAAAATTACTCACAATTACAAAAATAAATAAATCTCTAGATGACATATAAATAGCCTATATTTTTCACATTCTATGATTCACATGGCTTTTCTAAAAAGACATAAAACCCACAGTATAAAGTTTTACCTGTAAGATTCTAGAAGATCCACAATTTCAGTTTGCCCAAAGTGCTTAGCCCAATCTAAAGCCATCCTACCAAAATTCAAAGATACAAATTAATAAACAGAAATAATATTCTTAAAATTGTAAAACTAGGCACTCAAAATTATTCATTCAGCCATTTAAATAGAAGTGTATGAGTAATTATGGCACAATAGCTTTTATTATAAAAGTAAGCATAAGAAATTTTAAAAAGATATAGGTAGCTACACAAATAGATTAAAATAATGGATGCATTTTAAAAGAAATTACCAGCCATTTGATGCTTTGCTATGAGCATTGGCTCCCATACTAATTAACTGCTCTACTTGACTTGTGCAGCCTCGTCCTGCAGCAACCATCAGAGCTGTCGCACTGGTTTCACTGTGCCTATAATCAACTAAAAAAAAACAAAGAAAAAGAAAACTATTAGATTTCTGAATTATTTAAATCATTTTAATTGAGAAAAAAAATTTTAAGGAACAAATGAGTATCAGGAGACTTAACCTGTTACTTGCCCCTTCACATAAGTACATGATAACAGCATTATAATATCCTTCAGATAATCCAAGGAAATCTGTTATTGATGTGCCTTAGCATAAACAGGATGGAATACAGACTATCAGTTGGCATGTGGGAGAAGGAAAGATAGTTATTAAACTGTTTAAATTCACCTAAGTAATTAAAAAAAGAAAAGGAAATTCAGAATCCTTAAACAATCTTCCTAAATCTACATAATGCCTCAATCTCCAAATAATAAAATGTAAGCAATGAAAAATCAAAAATTTAAAAAGTTAGTTTCCATCAGTAACTAGTAATTAGTGCTTACATGTTTAACTGAGAAGTTTTAAAGTTTAAGATGTCTTTTTCTTCTTGTTTTGTTTTGCCTTTGTTCCCTCCATCATTTCAGGCTATTATTTTTCAAGATACGTAATATGAAAACCCTGGTAAAAGTTTACTTCCGACAAAATCCCTCCATGAGAAAAACAATTAAGATTCTATTCAACTGAAGCAATTCAGTATGTTATAATTACTTAGTACAGTTGTCGTTAGGTACCACAGAGTAGTTTCCAACTCATAGAGACCCTATGTACAATAGAATGAAACACTGCCTGGTCATACGCCATCTCCACAACTGTCACTATGTTTGACTGCACTGTGGCAGTCACTATGTCAATCCATCTCATTGAGAATCATTATCTTTTTCTCTGGTCATCTACTTTAACAAGCTTTATGTCCTTCTCCAGAGATTGGTCCCTCCTGATAATATGTCCAAAGTACGTGAGATGAAGTCTTGCCATGTTCACTTCTAGGAGTAGTCTAGCTGTACTTCTTCCAAGACAGATTTGTTCGATCTCACACTCCACAGCATATTCAGTATTCTTCACCAACACCATAATTCAAAGGCCCCAATTCTTTGGTCTTCCTTATTCATTGCCCAGCTTTCACAAGCTCATGAGGCTATTGAAAATACCATGGCTGGGTCAGGTGTACCACAGTCCTCAAAGTAACATCTTTGCTTTTAACACTTTAAAGAGGTCTTTTGTAGCAGAGATGCAGTGTGTCATTTAGTTTCTTGACTACTGCTTCCATGGGTGTTGACTGTGGATTCAAGTAAAATGAAAGTTTAAACAACTTCAATATTTTGTCCATTTATCATAATGTTGCTTATTGGTTCAGTTGTGAAAATTTTTGCTTTCTCTATGTGGAGATGTAATGCATATTATGTAATCCATATGATCCCAAGGCTGGAAGCAGGAAGCCAGGGCTGACAGCTGAAACCAGGGAAGGGGGCAGGGAGCTTCTACCCAAGGTAGAAAGCAGAAAGCCAGGACTAATGGCCAGATCCAGGTACCTGGAGGGAGAACCCCGACTCAGGCAGGAAGCGGGAAGCCAGGGCTGACACCTGCATCCAGGTAAGGGGAAGGGGAGCCCCCACCCAAGGCAGGAAGCGGGAAGCCAGAGCTGAAAGCTGGTAGGGGGAAGGCCAGGAAGCGGGCAGAGAAGTTTGAAACAACTAAGGGAGACGGACTTGTCTGTCAGTTTGGCATACTGTGGTGGCTTGCATGTTGCTGTAAGGCCAGAGGCTGTGTTTCAAATGCCAGCAGGGTTGTCCATGGTGGGCAGGTTTCAGCAGAGCTTCCAGACTGAGACAGACTCAGAAAAAGGAAGAGGCCATCCACTTCTCAAAGAACTGGCCAGGGAAAACCTTATGAATAGGAGGGAAACACTGTCTGATACATTACTGGACAAGTTTATGAATAGCCTTGAAACAATGTCCAATACAGTGACAGATGATGAGCCCCTCAAATCAGAAGCCATTCAAAATATGACTGGAAAGAGCTGCCTCATTGGAGTAGAACCGACCTTAACGATATGGATAAAGTAAAGCTTCTGAAACCTCCATTTGCTGACGTGGCATGACTCAAACTGATAAGAAACACATTCAAACATCCATTACTAATTGTTGTTGTTGTTGCTATATGCCATCGAGTCAGATCTGACTCATAGCAACCCTTCCTTGGGTTTCCGAGGTGGTATCA